CTACTGAGCCACGCCCCCAGCCCCTCCCTGGGGGATTCTCCCACTAAATATCCTCAGGCTTCTTTTTAAGACAGGGTTTTAAATTGCCTAGGCTGGTCTCAAACATACTCTGTACTGTCCCGGGAAGGCCTTGAATATACATAATCTTCTGGCTTCTGCCTCTGAGTACCTGGATCGCTCACCCAGGTATGTACCACCAGACTCAGCTCATTCCTGTCTTTCCCTAGCTCTCCAAACTCAGTCAACTGTTGTGGAGAAGTGTCTCACAGTCTTGAGTAAGCAAGACTGGGGTTGCGCTGTGATCGGCTCAGGAAATGCGTTTTGATTAAAACTCAGCCACATTAGAATCCTTCCTCAGTTAAAACGCTACCGTCTAGGCACATCAAGAAGGTTCAAAGCAGGACTTGGGGGACAGCGTAGTTGGTACAGTGCTAGTCTTCCGTGTACAAGACGTGAGGACTTGGGGGACAGCGTAGTCGGTACAGCGCTAGTCTTGCGTGTACAAGACGTGAGTTCAAAATGCAGAGTACACATTAGAATGCCAAATGTGAGGATGTGCACGCATGGTCCCAGCACTTGGGAGGTGGAGACGGGAGAATTCCTAGGGCTTGCTGGCCAGTCAGTCTAGCCAAATTGACCAGCTCCAGGCTGAGTCTCAAAAACTGAGGTTAAAGAGCTGGTGTAATGGAATGATGGGTAAATGGACATTTTCTGTAAGCATTTCCTGATTCTGAGTGCCCCAGACTCACATGGTGGAAGGTGAGAGCCAATTCCCAAAGCCTCTGACTTCTACCTGGGCACTGTGCATGCACGCGTGCGCATACACACACACACACACACACACACAGAGAGAGAGAGAGAGAGAGAGAGAGAGAGAGAGAGAGAGAGAGAGAGAGAAAGGTTAAAAAATGAAATCAAGTCCAGTGTTATGGTGCACAGCTGTGATCCCGCACTCCGGGAGGCTGAGGTTTGAGGAGCTCACATTTGAGACCAGTCTAGGCTCTTCACAGCCGGACCCTGCCTCAAAACACAACAAAGCACTCCCCAACAAACAAACAAATGGAAAGAACAAACAAAACAAAACCTGTATGGTCAAAGATCACAAGCCCAGGCTCATGTGTGTAACCCCAACTTTCGGCCTTAACATGTCTGCAGCAATCCCCCTGCCACAGAAGACTGCACGGCTTCACAAACATTTAAGTCCACTGACACGGGATGATTTAATGGGCAAGCGGAGATGACGAGTTAATTGGTAGCAGCGTCTGGAGCTACCCTGTTGACAGGAAGACTCACAAATCACAGCCATTTCTAAAATTGGATTTCAGGACTAGGGCTCTGCTTGTGGGGATTCTTGAACCGTCCCTCCGAGTTGTGCCTCCTGAGCATTCCGTAAGCCAGAGGGTCTCCGCTGTTGAGCTACGTGTCCCTGCTCTACTTGGGGTGGGACAGCTCCCTCTACACACTGCCCCTCCCTCTCCCAGTCTCTGGCCCCTGAGAGGTACTGCAGTCCACATTTTAAATGATGATGCTAGTCAGAAGCCTAAGACAGGGCTGGAGAGGTGGCTTAGCTGGTAACAGGCTTGCTGCTCAAGCATGAGATCCCGAGTTCTGATCCCTAGTACTCGTGTAAAACTGTCAGGTGCGGTGCAAGCACTTGGAATCCCAGCCTGGGGGAGGTGGAGTTAGGAGAACCCCTGAGGTTCACTGGCCGGTCAGTCTAGTTTACTTGCTGAGTTCCAGGCTAGTAAGAGAATCTGTCTCAAAATAGATAGCCAGGGGGCTGGAGAGATGGCTCAGTGGTTAAGAACACTTGCTGTTCTTGCAGAGGGCCCGGGTCCTGTTCCCAGCACCCTACTTACAACCATCTCTAAGGACAGTTCCAGCACATAGACTCCCTCTACGGAACTTGGAGGTGGCACATACACAGAGCACATATCCACATGCAAGCAAAACACTCACACACACAACATAAAATATGTAAATCTTAAAATTGTTCTCAGGGACTGGAGAGATGCCCCAATCATTAAAAGTATGTACCACTCTTCCAGGAGACCTGAGTTTAATTCCAAGCACCCACATTGGGCAGCTCTCAACTGCCTGGAACTCCCATTCTGGGGATCCAGTACCTCAGGCTTCCCTGAGATAATGCACACATACTCACTCAGACATACATCCTTTTTTTTTTTTAATTTTTTTATTGGATGTTTTATTTACATTTCATATGTTGTCCCCTTACCCCATCCCCCACCCACCCAGGAACCCCCAATCCCCTCACACCTCCTCCTTCTTCTTTGTGGATGTAACCTCTATCTACCCCCCCACTCCCACCTCCCCACCCTCAAAACTCCCACCCCCTGGGGCGTCCAGCCTTCATGAGGTCAAGGATCTCATCTTCCACCTGTGCCCAGCAGGGCCCTCCATCAGACATACATCCTATACTTAATTTAAAACAATTAAAAATCTTTAATTTTTTTTTAAAAAAGTGAACAGCATCAAGTGCATTTGCACATGGACACAAAAATAATTATCACCCCCAAACAGAACATTTACAAATAGTTTATTATTGTTGTGTGGAGAGCGCTGAGCACATGCTGAGCACACGTGTCCACTGAGCACGTGCTGAAGCACACGTGTGGAGATGATGGGGGACAGCTCTGAGGGATCTGCTCTCTCCTTCCACTATGTGTGTCTCAGGAATCAAACTCCGGTCCTCAGGCTTGGCAGCAAGCACCCTTCCCTGCTGAGCCATCTTGCTGGCCCAAATACAGTGAATTGAGTGGTTTATATGTGCTCATGTAGAGAAAGTCAAGAGAGATAGAGGCATGATCATTTCGAGCTTGCACATGAAGAAACTGAGGCAGAAAGCTGTTTAGCAACCTTGACAGTGTCAGTGCTGGATGTCCGTGGCACTGTGGACTGAGTCAAAGGAATTGGTCCAGGTCCCAGCTATTCTGCTCTGACCATCTGGTGCCAGAGAGCACTTTTCTTTCCAGAAGCTGCCTGCGGCTGCTACTTTCAAACCCCTGGACTACAGGGGGAGAGCTTGATCCTCCAGTACAGCTCCCCTCTGGTCCTCTCTGGACCACTCTGCTAACTGGTGGCATTCACGCCAACGACAAGCACAGGCTCCACCAGTGGGTGGCGCTGTTTCACCAGCCTGACCGACAAAGGCTAAGTTTGAAGGGCAACTTAGTCTCCTGGATATGTAGAGGGCTTCAGTATGAATCTGTGAGTGACCTACCTCCCTAAGACAGAACCTAGGGGTGCTTCATCCTCCTCCGTCAAACCTAGTCATGCACATAAAAGTTTCCCTCCCTATACCCTTCTTTCTTCTTCTCAAAGACCCTTCACATTGAAACTCAAGTGTTCCCTCCTCTAGGAAGCCTTTCTGTCCCCTGGGCAGCGTTGACAAGCTCCCTCCTCTTCCCCTCCTACACATCTTGTAAGAGAGCTTGGTTATAAGTTATCCATACACTCAGCAAAAAATTCCCAACAGCCTGCTTTATGCAGGCAAGGGGATGGTTAGCAGGTACAAGGAGCCAGGCATGGGAGTGTACACTTCTAACCTTAGGCTCTTGGGAGGCAGAAGTCTTTACAGAGTCTATAAGACCTTACAGAGTCCGAATGCAACCTCTCAGAAGGCTGAAGCAAGTGGATCTCTGAGAATTCAAGGACAGTCTAGTCTGTGTGGCAAGTTATAGGTCAAGTAGGGTCATGTAGTAAGACTCTGGCTGGCTGTCCTGCTTAGGGGTACTATTGCCATGATGAAACACCTTTACCAAAAGCAAGCTGGGGAGGAAAGGGTTTATTTGGCTTACACTTCCATATTTTAGTCCATTGCTGAAGGAAGACAGGACAAGAACTCAACAGAACAGGAACCTAGAGGCGGGAGCTGACGCAGAGGCCATGGAGGGGTGCTGCTTACTGGATTGTTCTCTGTGATTTTTTTTCAGTCTGCTTTCTTATAGAACCCAGGACCACCAGTCCAGGGATGATACCTCTCACCATGGGCTGGGACTTCTTCCATCAATCACTAATTGAGAAAATGCCTTATATCTGGGTCTTATGGAGGCATTTTCTTATCTGAGGTTCCCTCCTCTTAGAAGACTTTAGCTTGTGTCAAGTTGATGTAAAACTATTCAGTACACTGGACACAGGACAAAAAATGCTAGACAAGGCAGACACATAAGAGTGAGAAGCCAATACCAAGTGGTGTGGTGAAGCTAACTTTCTCTGCCCCAGCTTTGTTCATTTTTTGTGCACATGTTTAGGTGTGTGAGCACACCACAGTGTGCACAGGTCACAAGACAACTTGGGGGACTTGGTTATCTCCTTCTACCATGTGGGTCCCAGAGATCAAACACAGGTCATCGAGCTTGGTGGCGAGAACTTCTCCCTGGGAGGGGACCTGACTCACAATGTGATTTCAGGAGAGATCTCCGCCTGAGGCCAGAAAGGATAGAGAGGCATGGAAGGGAGTTGGGGTCTGCTAACTGAGAAGTAGGGACCAAGCAGGGACAAATGCCCTCACTTGACAAGAAAAATTGACACCCAGAGGACAATGAGGTCAGGCTCAAGGTGGCATACGTTTTACAGATTCAAGCCTCTAATGGGACCAGTGAGTATGCTTCTCTCTGCCAATCGGTGTTTCAGAGCTCTTTGCTGGAGTCTTATGAGAT